GTTATGCGTCAAGCAAATTTTGTCTTTTTTTTTATTTATAGCATTTTCCAAGTTGACTGAATTGGTACAATAATTTTTATTTTGTTGTTTCCTACCTTTTTCAATAAATAAGGAAGTAAATAAAAAAGGCATCTTTCAAAAGATAAATAATAACCACCAACACCTGAGAGCATTCTTAACCTAGAAGTCCGTCAGGTTTACGCAATTCCAGAGAAGCTTTTTCTTTTGCCATTTAATGTTTCAAGTCTCTGCCTCTCGGAGTGTGCTAAAATATCTAACACGACATGATATAATTACATAAAAGCCTGAAAAATCCTCTGCGATATTCCAAATTTGTGGATTTCGTAGCAGATTCTCAAAGTATTCGTTGTCGTATTGTCCCATGTCACACAGAAGTGTGCCAGACATCACTATAATACTACTGCCTTCTAACGTTTTTCTATTCAGTGCAATATACTCTTGTACAATCTCCCCTAGAGGTCAAATCTTATATAAGACTCCTATAGGAATATCTGTAAGAATCTTATATAAGGCAGTCGATAGAAATGCGTAAGATATTGATAAGAATCATTATCTTATATAAGAAACTGATAAGATTTCTATAAGATTCTTCTCAGAATCTTATAGGAAGGATACAGTACAATTTCATCAGATTCTTTAGTGATCAGTAGTCTATATTCTACTGCTTCATACGTGAATAAAATAATTTTCTTTCCACTTATTTAATTTTTTCTACAATAAGACCTTATAGTCCAACGCGGACAGTTTCAAAAGACGCTCCATTAAGCTTATTGCAGAGCTTTTCAAGCGCAATTTTTCTACGCCAAACACGAGTTGGATCTTCTTTTATTTATAGGAGAAAAGGACCGAAACGATCATATAGTGTTCGACTCCGGATACCAGTTGATAAAAAAATGCTTTTCTCTAAGCTCAACTGGTTACTAAGGATGAGTCACATACCATTTCGTACAGTTTTTCATTGCCTATTTGTCTGTATCAAGCTTAGATTTTGGAAAAAATGATACTTTCGTAAACATTAATGTATTTGATACGCTGTTACAATAATCACAATAAAAAAATTTCTAGGACATTCTAAGACTAGGCTATATCGAGAAATATGTACAAACATTTTCTCCACAAACTCGGATTCAAAGTAACTCAAAAACATCGGAGGCAAATTTCGCTTAGTCCTGCAATAAACTAACGGTTCATGATGGGGAGACTGCCATACTTTTCATCTTTACTGTTAATGAAGGTCATTGTAAACATTTTCTGCGAGTTATTTCTAATGTATTATCTAGCTTATTCACATGAAGAATTTGATTTTTTAACCGGTTTTGTACCAAGAAGGTTCTTCTTCAGAACATTCTCACAGATAAAAGAACAACTGTAAATTTTGTTTTTTAATGAAAAGGATACAAATACAGATATTTTAATTTATGGATTGTGAAGCTTTGCGTCATCAAGTTACTAATAAGCACTGACGCCTGACCAAGTATACTCTCTTAAATAATTAAACATTGACTCGATTTTTGTTTGATTAAAAAGAAACTATATTAATAAAACAAAACGTGTGTGAAAAGTAAATAAGTGTCTGGAAATCAAATATCGTTGATATGAATAATCAGTAGAACAGAAGTCTTATTTATATCGTGCATTGAAACTTTTATTAAAATACGTCTCATGACAGAGAAAATCGTGCACTCTCACTTGCTTATCCCTTCTTGGACAACTTCATCTCGCGTGATAAACTATGAAACGTTGTTGGATTTAGAAACTTTTTACGGTGGATACGATCCGCAGAAATCATTTTCTGAAACTTCTCAGCTGACAATCAAGCGAAGTTTGCTTCGCAAAAAATGCGATAGTCGCCATCACGTGCATAAGTACAAGTTCTAAATCAATCGCTGCCGAAACACGTACTATATTAAATTAGTATTTCAATTGTTCGGCCCTCTCATTTATTTGATTCATTTTCTAATTGCATATTTATTGTTTATTTTGGTCGTAACATCTCTAGAAATTGTTGGAGAATAAAAATAGTCGAACAACGTCATTTGATAAAAAAAGTTTTTAATATATACTATCGTGATGACATATTGGATTTCCAAGGTAATATTTGCGCATGAAGAAAAAAATCTTTCCAGTTTTTGATTGGCTGTGAAAAATCAAGCATAAATCGATAAATTGGAAAAACTGTATGGAGCATTTTTCTTACCCAAGCTACAACTAAATAACAGCCAACTTGAATCCCATTGAGCTTGTACCTCTAGCCGTGAACTTTTAACACTTTATTTAAGATGACGAGAGGAAATTAAATTTAACCTGCAAAGCAAATTGTTTGCATGATAATCCGTCAAATATTTACCTTTGCTAGAATAATGACGGATTGATTAATCAAAAATACAACAAATTTTGTATTTTTTCAGATATATAAATTGAGAAAAATACATGTATGGATGACTAAAAGCGACATCTCTTTTCGTTTTGCTGAATATTCTGCATATTATACGAGAAAATGATCAAATAATGATATATCAAAGTCTTTTTCACTTTTAAGGCAAATATTTTTTTTATGCTTTTTCAAGAAGTTGATGAAGCAGAGTTCACAGTTTATGTTTTCAACGTGTCCATTTTTTCATGGAAAGACAACCTATCGGAAGATTATCTTACGGTTAATTTACAGATTCCTTCTTTCTTATTATATTAATAGATTTTTTTCACAACAGATATAGTTGTTAGTCAGCCTCAACTTCAGTTGTTATCTTTTTTTCCCTGTCTGTTATGTATCTAATTTAACATTCTTTTCTTCTTGTAATTAATTATTATCCACTTTTGCTGTGGAATGCCGTCAGTGACGGATATTAATTCATCGATAACAACAGCGAAAATGAATGGTATTGAAAATTTAGGATTAAAACAGCAAGCACAATCTGTTGCTGCAACTTTTTCAAATGATAAAGCCTTGACTACAGCACAAGAAAGTACGGATCCGTTAACCCAAGCAGTTTTAATGCTTGAAAAAAAACAACGAAATCTCGCAAAACGCAAGGTAGATTGCATCGCCATTTAAAAATTTTATAACTGTTCTGATTCTTTTCCATTTTTAGGATAAACTGGAAAGCTATGAACAAGAAGCCAGAAGTGGAAAAGAATTGAATAAAGATCAAAAGGTATATCCCTTTATTTAAGAAGCCATTCTATTCGTGCAACTTAAAAATAAACGCTTTACTTCTTTTTCTTCTTAGGATGCACTTGCGAAATATGGAGAAGTTATTGGACAAATTGAATGTGCAAAAGAAACCCATGAACAACTTAAAAAGTTGCAACAAGAAGTACGATAAAAATATAGTTTTTACTCGTTAAAAAGCTGGTCTTGGCTTCTTCAGAGCAAGTTCTCAATATATTAGAAAATCTATCAAAACAGAGCACCAACAACACATAATTCTTTTTTAAATTCAAAAAACGGAAATTTAGGTTTTTCGTTTGAAATTTTAGTCTACTAAATTACAAAAACGCACACAAAAACAATTACAAGAGGAAAAGCGTGGATATGTTGGTCAACGTTTACGTGAATATATACAGCTCAGACTAATCATGGATGATGTTAGAAATGAACAAAGTCGAAAAAAATTAGAAACGATAGGAATTGTAAGTATTACATTTTATAGAAGAAAAAGGGGTCTTTCTGATGGAAAAATATTTTTCGAGTATACATGAGTACTGCACTTGTTTAATAGATAGTAGGTCAGATACCTAAAAGAAAAAAAGTTGCATTCATATTAATATTAAGCTATATCAGTTTTGGTTCGTTGCTGATTGTCTCTTCACCTTAAAACAGTTGATTACACATCTAGTGGTACCTAATTTCCTGTAGATTTTTCCTTCATTGTATTAGATTCTTATTTTCGTGTTCATTTTTTAGAGCCTCAAATCGGATGATGTGGTTGTATTTGATGAGTTATATAAATCTATTGTACCGTCGACAACAGTCGATTTATCACAACCAATGGATAAACAATTTTCTCGTTGTATTGAACAATTTCAAAATATTTATGATGGAAATACGAAAAAACCTTCGGGCATCCAAGGAAAAACGTGTGCAGAGTTAAAAGAATTTATTGAGCAATTTACGACAAAATATTCACAAATCTTTGATGGAGCACAACAACAAAAATCAGCTTCAATTCAACAGCAACAACCGCCATCAGATCAAGAAGAAATAAATAGTTCTACAACATCCGTTGTACCATTGGAAACAGCAGTTGCTGTACCTGAATTGATGTTGAGTGATATTAAAACAACTCCGTTGGTTGTACCACCTGTCCCAACCGCTCCAGCTACTGTATTGCCCCAGCGACAGTCACGACAAAATTTTCAACAACAACCATCTGCAAATGATTGTGAGTGAAATTCTGTCACTCTTCTTAAACAAGTCAATGTTTATATTAAAACCTATAACTCTGTTCTAAAGACAAATAGTTTTTGTTCTTTTACGATATAATTGATACTAACAAACAATGATGTTCATCTTTCGGGTCAGAACAAAATATTTGTACTGATGACAATTTAAATTTCTGAGTTTGTTGTATTATTTACACATAGTTACGACTAGTGTTCAATGTGACAGTTCGAGTTTAACGTAAAGAATATTTACCTTTTTTGACTTCGCGTTGATTGTTCAGGTTTGTTAAAAACATTTTATTGAAAGTGAATGTACTCAAGTAATTATCGATTTGCATTTATCTTAACTTTGTTTCTATTTTTAGTACAAATGTATGTGAATAATAGCAATGTGAAACCATCTGCTCCAATGCAGCAACCACCATCGATGCAGCAGCTAATATCAACTCCATCGATGTATACAAATCCATCGAATATGACTTCAATGTCAAACAAGTTCTCGACTAATCAAATTTTAATGCATAATGAAATAATTCGAATGGATACGCGTCAACAACAACCACCCATTGCTGATATTATTAACAATGCTCCTATTAGTTTTCTAGGTATGACAATGTTTCGATTAGATAACTAATATTAGAATTTAAGTTTACTTTTTATATGGAAATCTAATGACCGGATCATAAAACGGAAATAAATAACCAACCGCTAGAATACGGAATAGGATTATCGAATGTTTATCATTTAGGTTTACAAGATGCAACGAATGACTATAGTCAACAGCAAGAACTACTTGATTCTTCACCTGTGGAACTTCATGAAACACAGCAACAATCACCCTCATTTACCACCCAACATATTCCATCATTGGTTGTCACAAACTCAAGTAAAAATAAATCTACCTAATTTGATCTTTACTTTTGTAAAAGTATTATTATTTACTCTATTTCAGATTTAGCTAATGAACGAGATGTTTATGGACAAGTAAGGAAATGGAAGAATTTTAGCTCTATCAATTCAAGATATGAAAGCTTTTCAGTAGTAAGACTGTTTGCAACTGAACTATTTGACTGAGGAGCAGAATATATTCGAAGTGCAAAATTCAAGAAGCCGTTCTCGGATTAACAGTAAAATTAACTTTAAGAAAGTTTATTCCCTTAGTATTAAAATGACTCATTTTTAATATAAGTGTTTCAAAAAATATTTTTTACTCTTTGCATTAGAATCCTCAACAAGTTATACCGTCACAAGTGTATGCTGATTCAACTTCAACACAAAAATGGAATACGAATCAAGGAAATAATGTTACAGTTGATCAGGTAAAAGTAGTAAATGTCTTCATTACTTTATTCATTGCAGTGAACGTCTTTCATTAAAATGCTAGAAGATGCCTAAAAAGTTATTTAATAACATAATTTTCGCTGTTATGAGATTTTTTTGTTTCAGGAGAATGCCAGCCAACAGCAACACTATGGTAACAATAAGCAACAGCATCAACAATCAACAGCAGATAACATTAGCAGCGTTAATGATAACGGAAACGATGAACAATGGCAACAAAGTGGAAATAGTAAGTTCAATTTTAGAAACTAAAAATAGTACTCTTTCAGCTATTTATTAATAAAATAGTGATTTTCTATCACACATAGTAGATTTGTAGTGCTTTCTCAGTTACTGTCCTGGTTTACAAAGCATTTAAGGGAACCTCTCTCACGTTTTTGTTCCACAAGCGACAATGAAACTTACATACGTTAATGCCTACTATCTAACTAGGCTATGCTAAAAATTTGAGTTCAAAATATTAAAGTGCTATCAAGTTACTATTGTCACGAGGGACCAAATGGGGCTCTTAGTAAAAATTTTAAGACTTTTTTTGAGGAGTGCAAAGACGCGGATGGTTTCAAATGGAAGTAGACACTTAGATCTAAAAAACTATGACACTGATTTTTAAATTTCACTTTCGATCATTTTCACCACAAATTTCAAGACAAAACTCCGAAAAAACCCTGAAATTCGAGATAGTAGTTTTTAGTTTCCTCGGACCAAGAAGCGAAATTCAAAAATCTCTGCCATAGATTTTTAGACTTATGTCTCAGCTTCAGAATAAAAGAAAATCTAACTAAACAATAAACAATTGATCTTTCAATTTCGATTCATCAGGAAAATCATCGATTTCTGAGGGGCGGGACCTTATAAAAGAAAGCACCGACTATAGCGAGAGAATGAGTATCGCAAAAGCGTCGCCATTTCTACTTAATATTATTCAGTATTTTTATAATCAATCAAACACTTTGATTCGAGAACCGTTAATAAAACAAGGTGTTATTTATTATTTATTAGGAGGTTCACGAAGTCGCGGTCGTAATTTCAATGGACAACGTACAACTGGTGGTGGTCGTCGTCCATATTCTGGCCAGCACCAACAACGTGTGTAAAATTAGAAGATTAAACAACCGAATTTAAATATTTTAATTGCTTTTGTTTTTCTTCTATTAAGGTCCGTATTATGGTAATGATTATAATCAAGGAGGCAGAGGCTATTCTGGCGGTGATAATCGTGACAGACCATATCGAGGTAAGAATTGATTATGTAAAATTCATTGTTGAGTACCCGTCATCGAAGTGATTTTCATCTGGGATAAATACCGTCATATTTTTATAAAAATTTTCTTTCTTTGAAGTACAGAAATGTTTTTATTACGTTATTAGGTCGTGGTGGTGGAACTTATTATCGAGGAGGAAATTATCGTGGTGGCTATGATAAACCACAACATAACGTTTATAATGATCAACAACAACAGCCGCGTCAAACAGGAACAACTTCTCAAAATCAACAATAACAACTACAACAGTGTCAACAACAATCATAACGTTTTGTTTTAGCAGCGATGAATGCATGAACAGTCGGAATTTACCCAAGATCTACTTCAGCCGTTTCTTGTTTTTGTTTGTTTTTTCTACTTTTCGTGTGCATTGTATCTTCTTTCTTTTTTTTGTCCTGATAAAAAAAAAAATGAAAGTAACTCAGTAAGAGAAAAACCCAAACCGTGTATGTGTATGCTTTTTCGATTGTTCTTCGTTATTTGTGTTGTTTTACAAAAAGAAAGAGCAAAGACAGTGGTTTTTGTTTTATATGAACGAACGCATACATCACACATATTTTTCCCTTACTTCTTTTTGGTTTGAAAGATTGAAAAAAAAACAGAAATTTTGTGCATTTCTCTTAAGAAATATCAACGTATGTTTGCTTATTTGCTCTTTGTTTGTTCATTTTTGATAATAAAATTCATTACATAAGATGATAAAAAGAGAATTTTAAGATGTAGAAGTTAAGCGATCGGGTTTTTGTAAAGTGGTTTATAGATAAGAGACAGATCATCTTTAAACATGTTAAATACGTGCAGCTATGGATTAATAGGGTGTCAGAGGGATAGAGTTATACCTATGATCTTGGTGAAGTGCATCTTTCGATACCATTATGTCTGGAGAATATGAGTTTAATATTATTGTTAGAAAAGGACAGACGCGGACAGGAGATATCAAAAAACTTCACAGAAAGTAACATTCTCATAGGATAAATCTATCAGACTTTCAAGGACGGAAGAATTTACTTTGCTTTCCTTTAGACACGGAAAGAAGATCTCTCAGATATGGCAAGAAAAAAATACTTTTTTGTTTATCAGACAAGAAATACCGACAATAGATCAAAATTATTTATCTTTTCTCACACTTTTCAAGACATTCTACCGTACCATCTCTCTGTGAATCGGTGACGACCTGTGTTCTTCAGTTATCCACCACAAAGGATTAGTAAAGCATCGAATGAAATTATTTAGGACCAAAATAAAAATGTCGAAGGTATTTTCAAATCTCGAACATTTAGCACTACTCAATTGTGATTGCTTCACGTCAAAATATAATGTATCCGGTTGTTCGTGAAGAGCTTTTGAACAGTAGAAGACAAAGATTCGCTGGTTTCACAATTTAGTATATTAATTTCAAAGATTTTTCCTGACACAGAAGAACCTGAGTATGGAGTTGTAATGAAACCAGAAAAAATTTAGGAATTCGAAATTGTAGACTATATGTTGATAATATGAGGCAGTATTATGTATCTTTGATAATACCACTATTATAAATGGTTAGCTCAGAGTTTGTCGGTTCGTTGCTTTAAATCAACTTAATTTACTTTGTAAAGCGCATTATCGTTCTGATCAGTGTAATGTAGTGAGCCTTTTTGGTATATATAGTAATACTCTAGAGTTAAATGGTTCATGTATCTATAGATATGATAATGGTGAAAAAATAGTCGTTGGTAAGACATTTGATAAACTACTTTTGTGCAATAAGATCAAGTGATTTTTGCTTCATATCTCAGATGTGAACGAATATATGTATGCAGGTGAAACAGAATATCTGTTAAGTAAGCAAACACGCTAGGCGTGAATATTCTAACAGGCATTTGATGTTGACAGACTGATGTGTTGTCCATGTACGAAAAGTTAAAAAATTTTATTCTCAAAGAGTTTATGGCTTATGTTAAATGTAGCAAAGAAAAGTTAACATTTTTTAAGAATAACTTGTTTTTTATATGTATTCTGCGACAAAAGTAAAATTAAATAAGATTTAACATATGATTGTGTATTTGTAAATTTGCATTTATAAATAATTTTTTGACGAAGAAAAGTCATTTTAAAAAAATATTAATTACTGTTTTAATAACCCAAACACGGCAAAAGTATCGAACATCACTTGCTGCACAAATATCTAAATATCTAAATGAAGATGTATCGACATAAATGTTGAATTGCTTCTCAATCTATTGAGTGATAATAAGCTAACTCGATACATATAGATAAGTCAATTGATTTTTACTCTTTTTTTATCTCTATACCCTTGCTAGAATATCTAGATTTTTCGCCTGAAAAAAACCCACTATGACTACTATTTTAGGATGTTGATGAATTTTTGGATTTCACTATGTCTTGTATCAAGTCTATCTAAGCGAAAAAAAACGTATAGTTGGAACATTTTTTAAGACGCTTAGAAAATTTGTATCATGTAATTGTAGCGAATATAGTAAAAATTTTGTTTCAGGAAAATTGTGAAACAGCATAGTGGTATTATTGATTGAAAACGCTGAAATATAGAAAGTCTTTTTGTCCTAAAGAAGTTCATTTTACAAGTATAATAGTCTAATGCTCGACAAGAAACTAGCAGATTACATAAGTGCATGTTAACTACTGCTAGTTTAATAATGAAGTACGTTTTTTTTTACTGATTATCGGGTCGTTTTGGTTTAAATTTTTCTAATTTTTCTTCTAATTCTTGTATACGATGATCTTTTGTGCGTATTATTTTTTCACAACGTTTTAATTTTCCTCTTAGTACATCTAATTCATCATCTTTTGTTCGTAATGCAATACGCAGTTCATCGTAATCACCGTACATGGCACCAGGTCCTCCATATTCACGTGGATGTAAACGTCCTAGACTAGGAAAATAGCGAGGAGTACGTGGGACAATCATTGGCAATGCACGTCGTTCAGTATTATAGGAACGCCATGTTTCCCAGTGCAATCGCGATTTTCTACCTGTACGTATCAAGTGTTCTTCAATTTTTTCTCTTAAATGTAATATGAATAATTCAATGGCTCTTCTGTCACCATTTGTTATATCATGTACGACAGTGCCAGGAGCGTGTAACGATAATTTTGGTAATACATCGGTATTTAATAGACGCCAATTTTTTGTACGTTGTATCATATTTCTAGCCGGAATAAAGATGTCAATATCAACGTATTCAGGAAAAAAATAACCAATTATTTCTGCAATCAAAACACCATCGGCAAAATCTATGTCTAGACCACGTACAGGACGTGACAATGGTATTGTATCTAACCAGGCCAAAATGTCATAATGAGCAGCCATTTGATAATGGGGAGATGATTCACGACTCATTACCTCTGACATAATATAGATTATCCAGGAGATTTATTCCAGATGATTTTTTACTTTGACATATCAACAATGTTCTACAATAAACAAAAACAAAATATGCTAGTTATAAGGCACAATAATCCTATTTTCTAATTTTATAAAACAGTTATAACTCTTGTTTGTAGTGCATATTTCAAAATTTAATAAAAAGTTCCAGCCCTAGGGAGTCGTTTTTACAAGAAATATTATTTATATTTTTAAAACATACGCTGTTTTAAAAGTGGTTGTTAATTCTTTACATTTTTTACAGTGATAGTTCAATACACCTCCTTGCACTTTTGAGTAAAATGTTTTTTTATTACTGAAAATTTTTTTTTGCAATAAACGTTTTCTGTTATTCATACCCGTCGTTTTACTCGATATATTCAGTGAAGAGCTCTCTTCATCAAAAAAAAATAATAAACAAATAGTAAAAGAATTTTGAATGATTAAAAAGAGAAATTTATTAAAATACACTTCAGGCAATTGACTACAAGGAAAATAAAAAAAGTGGCAATACAAGAAGAAAAAAAATGGTAAAACAATTGAAATAGAGAGAAGAAAAGAAAAAGTATGAAGTTTGTTAAACTATATTTTTGATTGCTTACAAAATATTATTAACTATATACAAACAAAGAAAGAGAAATATTAAAGTGTCAAATCTATTCGTTTTGTTTCATACCATCTGTTCATATTTAATTGAAAGGCTACCATATTAGATTCAATGGTGTATATACATTTGTTATCAATTTTTTTTTCTAACGATAAAATATAACAATGAAAGTATTATAGAAATCTAATTAAAAATATATAGTCAAGATAATGTAGCATCATTCTTTATCACTCAGTCTAAAAATGATAATAGGTTAATTTTGAGAAAAAATTCTATCACCAATTCGTGTATTATTTAAGTTTTTCTTCAATGTATCTATTTTCTCATCTTACTGTCGAACTACGCTGGATGAAATGATAACACATTCTCCTGAATAAATACAATTGATGCCAACAACAAAAGAAAGGTAGCCAACCTTTCCTTTTGATAAGTTTTTTATTATTTTCCAATTTATTCTCAGCGAAAAACGATTATTTTCAATAATGCAAAGGCTTCAAGTGACACTAAATAAAATTCATACATTTTATTCATCTTTAATTGTTACCAGAAGTTTTCTCACAAGTGAGCTATATGACGAGTATGTCGTTGGAAATTGGTCGATATTCAATCGCGGCATCTGTAATATTTTATTATTAACCATTAACCAAAAATGACATCAAAATAAAGTGACTTAAATTGTGCAGTTAGCAGTTGCAATATTTCATAAACAATACCAGTCGATTACAATGGAACTTTCGTTTAAACTATGTCTCTTGATGCGTGTTCTCTATTTCTATTAGAGATCCGTATGGACTGGATAAAGCCCATAGTCCAATCCAGTTCACATGGACTGGACTCGACTGAAAACGCTTTGAGTTCATGGACTGATCTGAACCTGAAAAAAATTTTAGACGGATCAAAATAAATCCAGAAGAAATTAATAATGTTTTATTGATTCGTTTAGTTGAGAAAATGAATATTTTATTGGAAAGAAAATAATTCTTTGTTTTTATTTTCTTACTTCGTATTGTTTCAAAGCATTATACTGCTTTGAAACAATACAAAAAACAATAGAAAAAGTGTTAAAAGCTGTTTGTGAGCAAACACATCTGTATACAGAAACACTGTAGTTTTGTTTTTGCGATTGGATATCATGGTGTATGGACATCATTTAACGTCGGTGAATGAGAGCGTGAAATTAGTTCCCGAGGAGTTGACCTAGAAACAAATGGTGTGATAGTAGAAACGCAGGAACGCTAAAACTGTTTGTAACAATTGACGACGAGGAAATAGAAATTGGCAGCTATGAAATATTTGTTGATAATGGTCGTGCTGCTAATGAACCACTCCTAGAGCATACAGAAGTTTAACTCAAGGACCATTGGACTATTTACTCAATCTATTGGACTCGGACTGCAATGGACTCAAAATTTGGAGTCCCTAAGGAGCTCTGATCTCTACTAATAAAGTTTATTGATGATGCAAGCTATTAACCTTTTAAGTACGAGCGTGCCCGATAAGATACACTTTTTTCAAACTTGATAAATTCTAAATAACTCGCGACCGCAAAAAGATATCGAGATGCGACGATGCAGTTTTGTCTGCTGATCTCTAGTATGTTGTTAATTTTTCTTACAAGTATATGAGAAGTAAAAAAGACGGAAAATAAATGAAATAAGCGGGAATCAAGTTGAGTGCGACGTCTTCTTGAAAAAATTTGTCTATGGATATTTTCTCCCTAATTTTTGATTACTATATTTTTACACGATTGTGACGAACATTAATCACAGAAGATATGATAGAATGGACGACCTTTGGTTCCTCATCCCTGCCTCCCTATGTATGTTTCAATAGCGGGTGCTCATTTTCAATGAATATCTCGAATCCTACAATAGTTAACTGTCATACTTTGTGTGAATAATCTAAAGACATTTTAGAGCATCTGGTGCAGTTTTGAAGTGGAAATAATATTTCTAGGCTGAGTTTTGAATTTTTCTGGAAGAGGATCTCAAACTTCAAAAGTGACCCTCGATCGTAAAATAACTGTATTTCAGTAACTATTAAGAGCTAACACTTCAAATTCATACCATAGATAGCGGAGAGGCAGTGTTGCATTTTGGTAAAAAGGAAAACTTTTCACCTCTCTTGGATTAGGAGTTATTAGCATTTTACGAAAAAGAAATGAAACGCTTACATCTCACGAACCATCTAGTAAAAGAGACCCAAACTTGGTGGGTGATCAGCATTCGGTAAGAGTTATGATCACATAAAATTAGAAGGCCCTAGCTATCATGGTCGAGCAATAGTACTCAAAGGGTTAAAGAACCAGATGCTGACTTAAATTTTGATATGTTCGATGAACTATTTGATAGAGTGAGCTGAAAAATTAGACAATGTGAAAAAGCAATCGAAACTGTTTCGCCAAAACACACTGCTATAGAGATGTGCACGGGTACCGTTTTCGTACCCGTACCCGAACTGAAAACTTTTTTCCACCTGTATCCGACTCGAGAACTTTGTACCCGTATCCGACTTATGCCTAAAAATTTTCTCCTTTTCGTTTCTCAGCTAAAAACTTTTGTTTTTCGGCTGGAGATGGCGAATTATCATTAGGTTCTCAAGCAACTATTTTTTAAAACTTCATGTATTTTAGCTAAAATCTTGTAGTTTTCCACTAAAATGTTGTGGTTTTCCACAGAAACCTCTCGGTTTTCGGGTAAATAAAAACAAAACGGAACCCGTACCCTTAACTGCTCTACCCGTACCTAGCCTTCAGATCGGGTCGGATACGGGTCGAGTTGCACATCTCTACACTGCTAGACCGAAGAGAAAAACATGAGAAAATTTATATCAATAAATATAATGAAACGTTGGTTGTTGCTTGATGTGATGAACCCGTATATATGCGCTAAGTCTACGTGGTAATACAAGTGAAAGCTACACTCTAAAAAGACGTAGTTTAAAAAACCAAAGGGGGTTTTAGTTTTTGTTCCAAACCTGAAAAGGGTTTATTTAGAACATGAAAAACTAAAATGCGTTTTGTAATCACTACAAAACGCTTTGGTTTCGTACAAAACCGTATTTCTCATATTTGTAATAATAATTCGGTATCGGAAAATACGGTTAGAGTTTTTGAATTAGCAGGAAATACCAACACAGTTTTTCGGTCTGCTGCCAAACCCTTTTCGGTTTAACTATTCCTCGAAAAACCAAAGCTGATTTAGTGCAAACCGTTTTTTTGAACAATTAACAAACCCAACCGTTCTGCAGCAATACTACTAAACCACCGCGTATTTCATTTTTTCCAACGTACGCAATCGGTTTTGTAATCAATCAAGTTGAATGCATACATCGTTTTTGGGAGCGTGAAACCCATCGGTTTTCATCTGTTTTGTCTAGAAGTGAAAGAATATAATACGACACTAAATAGAGCTTTTCATTTGGTATGTGAAATCGAATTGATTCCATGCAATATTATTATTCTTCAGGAGATTGAATCGCGCTTCTTTATAGCATCCAACTCAGTCGAGATAAACGGATCTATTCTTTGAATCAATTCTTTAGTTAGACGGACTTTAAACTTGTTCGCAGAAACCATACTTATACAATACTTATACTGAGTTTGAACTAATCTGAGAAGTACCTGAATTGAATATATTTTGACTAACCATGTTACATAGTCAGAAAACAGTAAACAAGCAAAAAGAAAATTTCGTTTACATAAGAGACATTGTTACTGATTTAGTGAAAGATCAGATGAAAAAACCTGGTCAGGCATCTGGTCAGATCACTGGAATGTGATAAGAACAGGTCACTAGTTTCTCGATCATTATACTGACTTCTTCAAGAACAGCATAATTTAAGACCCATATCTGATTTCCTGATCAGTAACCTGTTTTTTTCGAGACCAGTATCTGTTTTTCTGGCTAGCATTCTGGTTCTGTCAAGAACAGGATCTTGATTTCTTGACATCATGTGCATCTGACATGCATCGAATTAGAAGTTTATTCATCTCACAAAAAGGGATCAATAAGATGTATATTCGTTGCTCTTTTCTATCTCATTCTTATATCCTTTTAAATCCATTTTTAAATTGTTGGATCTGTTTAATCCCTTTAATTTCATATGTTTATCTTATTATTGTGCGAATTATATCCTAATGAATATAAGGGAAAAGGTTGTTGTTGAACACAATAGTAGACAAACGAGCACTAAATCGAGCACTATTTTCGAGATGTGTTAAAAGAGAACTTATAAATAGATTTATTGAGCACAGCGTTTTATTAATTACCTTAATTAATCAACAGAAGGAAGGTTTAAAAACAGATACTTATAGACGTTTGCATCGTATTCTAGGTAGTTTTAATTTTTACGATATAAAAATCACATTTGTGCAAATGTCGTATTCTATCCAACAACAGCTATTTGACTCCAAATAACCTCAAAATTAATGAAATAAACTGACACTTAAAAATAGCTAAGTGTCACTTTAAGTGATGAAGTGTGTAGAGATTATTTCTCCCTTGCTTCCAAGAATTTTCAGTTGTGTAGAATTTCATTCTCAACATTTTTTTCTCATAGACATCACTTCAGAAAATGCTTCCCAGCTGAGATAAACACGATTTTCTGTTTACCAAAGAACGTTGAAGCTTTTTCTTGAATGACTTGCACAAAACCCTAAAGCATAGTTAAAACTACCAAAAATTAGTATTTCGGAAGGTTTTTGTATTTGCCACTATACGAAACGAATTTCAGTTTTGCAGAACGCAAGAACTCCTCCAAATACTGCTTCAAATACGGTCAGACATATTTTGAAATACTATAAGAGGTTTTTGAAATTAAGTACAAAACCCAAACCCTTATAGGTTTTCGCATTTACTGTTTTAAAAAGGTTCCGTTTCCGGAATCTAAAAAATGGAAGAGATTTTTGCACTCTAAATGCAAAACGGAAACGCGTTTGGTATAGTTGCAAATGCAAAAACCCTTTTTCATTTTTTAATATACGTTTGTTTTTTAGAGTGTAGAAAAAGAGAGATATATTGATTAATATAAGCAAACGCGAAAGCATGAAACAAGAATTTGTCATTTCAAGAAGAGATGAAAGTATTGTTAAGGGGTCTGTATTAGACATCGAGAGTTATGTATGCAAGAATTTGTTCGTTGAGCTTATAGGTTTTACTTGAACAATTCGGATTAAAAAGTCGAGGTAACTGATTATGTTTGTTTAACTAAATCACTCAGTTACGTAACTCAATTAATCGAGAGAAAGAAAACGAATGCAATGAAAAATTATTCTCCAATCATATCATGAATAAATATTCTCGTCAACCGCATGACACTTATTTCAATATTTTCTTCGACAGATTTTAAAGTCTTTTTAAAAACATATTACTTTGAAGAGTGCAAACAAATAAGGGAACACTTAGGAATTTAAAATAGTTTTACCCATAATTGAGATGATAAGTGTATAGTGACTGTTTTTCTCGTATCTGGTGCTAATAATGATGAACAAAGAGATTAGAAAAATCTTCTACGCATGTTTCGAGTTAATGGTACAGCAATCCTATTCTCGGTTTTATACATACAAAAAATTCAAAATACATAATGATGAAGACGATCAGTGAGAGAAATTATTGAATTTAGAGGAGAATTTTTATTATTATTGTTAGTCATTTTCTCGAAAATATCTCACTTTACTGTAACACTGACTAATTCTAGATTGCATTATGGTATTTTTCAGAGTGATGCTAGAAATGATCGCCCTTAAGGAAATCTTCACTTAAGACATTGTCGATTTTTTAAATACTAATTTAAGAGAATTTTTATATACGATGTATGATGTAAATCTATCATCTACCGAATATCTATTATATAAAATTTGACTGTTGTATTTCCTTTAAAATTGACCTTGATGCGAACATCTTGAATATATTGCCAATGTGTTTTTGAATCCAATTTGAAATGTGCGACAAATATTCATTCTTTATACTGTTACGTAGGAAGATTATTGAGTTTATGTAAAAAAATTGATAGTATACTACTATATATCGATTTCATATATTACTACATTGACATTTAAAACATATACATACACAAAGGTCACAGACAGATGAATTACAGCAATACTGTTGTTCTTGTTACGAAAAATTCATCAGTATGATTTTTTTCTTTTTTGATGATTAAAGAACTAGAAATAATAAATTTTTCTTCTTTTGTTCAAACACACAGTTTGATAATTGAATATATTGAAACTGAAACAAAAAAAAAGATATTTAGACAAAGTTCTGTTTCTACCTGGCTCTTCAACGCCTACTACCTAAAACGATATAAAATGCCATATGATACTATAGAAATATGAATAATAATAGGTCTAAAACTTGACAGGTAGATATATAAATCTATTTTGTTCTTTCTCATATTTTTTAAAGCTGTATACGTGAGAGAAGGAAAAACAAAGTTATGTTTTATAAATTGGTACACATCGTACATCTATATGAGAAAAAATCAAAAAAATCTTTGTTTTTTTAGAAATGAATTTAAATGGAATACAAACATCGTTTTTACTGGTTGCTGTATTGGCAATGATTTTTTCAAATACCAATGAGGTTAATTTAATTGAAGAAACAATATTCAAATGGGACAATTTGTATGTGATTGATAAAATTTTAATCTGAATAAATATAACTGACAACTCTACTAGTATCATAAAAATCTACTCATCTTTCAAAATATTCATTCTTTTTTTCAGAACTTCAAAAACAATTCTAGATAATGACAAAATAATGCCAAATTCAACTGGTCTACCACATTCCAATGATGAACCAACAATAATTTTATCGAATTCTTCGCGAGATGAAATTAATTCGATGATGATTGACGAATATCTAACTGTTTCAGATACACATGTATCCCCCCGAGTCAAACGGATACTAAAAGAACTTTTTGGAAACTATGAACCATTTTGTTGGCGTCGATCATATGGACGTGGTGCTGGACGATATCTTCATACATGTCCAGAAAATGAAAATGATCAAGACGGCTTATTGTGCTATAAACCGTGCAACGAGGGTTTCAATGGTGAGTCAGGAAGTAGTCAATTTTTTCTTACTCTAACTACGTCCCTCTTTCTGGAAATCTTTTTCGGCGTATTTCATCCAGTATTAATAAAACTATAGAAAGACGACTGTGATGAAAAAATTCATCTTTAAATCATTAACTCTTGTCACAAATTTATCATATTTCTAGGCAGATAGGTCTAGTTTTCTGTGGAGCCCTAGAAACTGCTTTCATAATTAAACAGTTCAGTGTAGGTCCAGATAGGATCGAGTCGCTTTTTCAAAGTCTATATAAAAAGACGAATCTTATCAGGATCTAGATAATGAATTTATCTACTAAACAAAAATAATGTATACTCTATTGATGGTGCCATCGGGAAGCACTAAAAAACCTCCTCCTTCTGTAGGAATTCTAACACCACTGCTAGTTTGCTCTAACGAGAGAAGGTTCTAAGTATACTGCTCAGATTTTGATGAAATATATCAAGCATGATAGAGTAAAGTGCACTGATCACAAATCTGCAAATCTTAGCTGCCCAATCTAAAGAGCTGAGAGATTGAGACACATTAGTAAGAGAGAGGGTCAAAAATTGTACTTCTTAAGAATCATACTTTTCAATAGAAATGTTCTCTAGGCCTGGACATAGTGTTATTTTGTAGCCTAAAGATCTAAGCTATAAAATAGTATGGCCATCACTTCTTGTTGACTTAACATTCACGAGTTATAATTTATTAAAAGATTTTTGTTTTTTGCACTGTTGATAAAGTACAATTATTCCTCTTTTTTTCCAGACTTCTTTTAATAAATCTGTAAACTTTTAAATGTTAAGTCAATAAGAAACATCGCTAAGATCCGAGAGATGTCTCATGTTATCTCCAATATGTCATCTAGAAGCGCCATTTTTTTGCAATGTATGCGAAAAATAACTTTGCAAGACTTCTCAAAACCCATAAGAAACATGCATTTTGGTCAAACGCAATATGGAATCTGAGAGATACTCGACTTTGTGCTTATATCAATATCAACTTTATTTATTAAAATTTCTTATTTTCGAGGAAAAAAGGTTGCCTTACAGATATTTTACATATGTGGATATCAGATGTTTTCATGCGTAGGAAGTTTGCATAATCGGAATAAGTCTTGTTCTGCTGTCTCTTACTCGAATGAGTCTACTTTGTTTTGTAGGGGTGGGACCTGTATGCTGGGAAGATTGTGGTGAACAAAATATGACGTCACTAGGATTCGGTTGTATATCTGTCAAATCATCGACGCGACTTTGTCCTTGGTACGATAAATGTGGTTTAACCTTCAAAAGAGGATGTGCAGAATGTCCACCGAATTATACAAACCTTGGCTGTTTATGTACGCGCGCTTTTTTTCGTAAAAGCTACGGACGAGGTGTGGGCTCATCAATGATTTGTTCGTCGAATTATGAACAAGATGGTTTACTATGTTATGATAAATGTGAAAAAGAGTACTACGGTATCGGTCCAGTTTGTTGGCAGTATTGTCCAGAAAATCAACCGGTCGCCTGTCTAGCAGGATGCGCGAAGACAACAAAAGACTGTCATACAGCTGTGATTAATATGGTACAATCTGTAGCAGGAGCATCTCTGAAACTACTACACATCGTACTGGGTATACCATTACTCGATTTGTTCGCAGTCGATATGATAGCAAATGCAGTAAAAGGTGATTGGTCGAAGGTTGTAAAAGACATGAGTCGAATTGCTTTGTCATTTGCTGACAAAGTTTTGCCAGATCTTGCTAAAAAATTTTTCGACTGGGGATTTGGTACAGTTCAGTCAGCAACAAAAAATGCGAGTTTATTATTGACTGTTGCTGCGTTCAAAGACATACGTGGTCTATCACCATTCATCAAGTTTTTCAGATTAGATGGTTTGATAAATGCTTTTAATCACGGATTGTGTGACCTGAGAGAAGATGTCGACGATGTGGAAAACTAATGAAATTATTTATCTGTAGGAGAAAAAGATCCTAACAAGAATCTTTCTCAGTATAGAAATGAAGAGCTCATACTAAAATTATTTTCATTCAAACACTTTAACGAGAAGATAGTACCACAGTGTCGGTAAAGTATCCTCTAACGTCGAACTCTAACAGATATGTCATTCGAAAGTAAATTTCCAAATATTCTTTCGATTTTACGATGTACTTTCTCTTCTTTTGTATAATATTTCTTCTATAATCAATGATCAGAATAGATTTTTAAAGATTGAAACTAATATATATGAATACAATGTAAAATAGATTGTTCATACTATCATTGATGACTAGATAAACTCTGAAGATCGTTTCTACAAAAAAAGGCTGATTTTCATCAACTTCAAGTATTTGATAGAACCTTCTCTCTCTCTTCCTAAAAAGCAAATATTCTCATTTGAATTTATGAATAAATATGGATCTAAGACTAACAATAGGGGAAAATTTGCAAATCAAACTTGAGTAACATTGTGTACAGTATTATAGTGCGGCATGAGCATTTTGTGAGAATCTGTTAAGAATTAAATCAAATTTATTTTTCAAGTACACGAACAGCTAGATCAAAACTTGTTTGTTCTATAATTGAAATGTATGAGAATCAGTTTTGAGTATAAAATATTCTATTTGAGTAAACAATTGTCAGTTAAAATTCTGGTCTAGAAAATATTCTAAAAGATTTTACTTATCAAGGATCACCATGTAAAACTCTAAAACATAACTTTTGTTCTAATTGTGGCGATCTATTCAGAGTTTCTGAAAAACAAGAAAGAAATATCTTTTTTTTCTCTTCAAAATCTTTCAATCTGAAAAACTGACCACCATTGTATTCTGTGTAGGAAAAAATGTAGACTTTTTCTAATTTTCATGACGAGCACTAGCATAGGACATGTTATATAGCTGTACAAATTCTGCTCATTTTGGAAAGTGATTTCAGTTATATCGAACTTTAGAAAAATTATCTCAAGAATTTAATATTTTTGATGAAATCCGAATAGTCGACATGATAAGGGGCATCATATTCTATAATCTTGCATATCACTAATGGGATAGATTGCAGAATTGGAACTAAATTGGTAAATCGATAACGGATCGATCGTTACATTAACGGCTGACTCGATTCGATCCGATTAAACTTTTCAATCGGCCGATATTCACAGATTTTTTTACCGATTTAGCAACTTAAAAATAATTTATTTTTTCCAATATTTTTCAAAAATAGAAACAAAACAGACTTTTCATGTAATAACATTTATAATTTTAAGATGGACTTCAGAAAAAACCAAGCTATACATTCAGAAAGTAATGAGGTATATACTTGCATGCAAGAATGCATAATACTAAGCTGCGGTTTATTCGTTTTTTCTTCTCATTTCTTGACACAACACTAAACACTATAAAGAAATCTATCGATTAAAACTGTGTTCCCTATACGAAAGTGTGCACAGAAGTATCTGCTTTTTAAGGCTCTTTCTTGTTTTATTTGCATTGTGGTATTTCTATAAACCATCATGGACTACAGATAGGCGGGGAACTGAATTCTAAGTCTTATTCTATAACAGATTTTAAAGCTCTTTAGCCGATCGTATGAATTTAAATCCGACACATCTTTTGAATAGGTTGCCCATTAAAGATGGTAAAAGTTGGAAGAAATCAGTAGAAGAGAAAGTGAGTGAGGGAGGGCGCACTTCTATTCTGTATAGTACATGTAACAGCGCATGAATTATTATCTTTCTGTGACTGAGTTACTCTAGAAAAAATAAGCGTTGGCTTTCCGATTTTCACTGAATATAAGTTAATTCAGTGCGCCTATATCTAATCCTAAGTTAATGTTGCCACTTTTTCAGAAATTCTGGACCGCCAATAAATCAGTGAGCAGAACTAATGGTGAGTATTCAGTTCTGATATCTTGTGCTTTCTTACCACTTTTCTGTTATAGGCAGCCATAGCTGCAATAGAAATTGCAACGTTGAGATAATCGCTGACAGCATATAAACAATAAATTGTACGTATTGAAAGCTTTTCATTTTGCAACTTGCATGGCACACTTGTTTCCTTTCTTTTATTCATTAACAGCCACAAAATGGATTCCAGTCTGGAAAAGGGGAAGTTGGATTAAATCAAACCATAAAGCTGTGTCAAATACGGAACTGAACTGAAATTTATTTTACACAAAGCTAGGATATCACAAAAAAGCAGCAAAAAGAGTTGTGGCATCCGAAGACACTCCATCATAACCTAAACTAAAAAGTTTCTAAGATGAATCGCTTCTGTAACACATACATTGTGAGAGAAAACATATGTGTGATACATTTTAATAGAAAGAGCAGATCTAAACATAAAAATTATTGAAAGCCTAGATCATTGTACATATTGAAAGTTTTTCATTTTGCAACTTGCATGGCACACATATTTCCTTTCTTCTATTCATTAGCAGCCACAAAATGGGTTCCATCTCTTAACATACGTTTAATATATGGATAGAGAAGACTGACATACTAAAACCGAAGGAAGTTCATTCCATTCCTTTGAGCCACGTGGAAGCCGGATGCAGATTTTACCCTGAGACGAGGAATGAAAACGCTATTATTATGACCTAATCGAGAATTTTGACGCGTAGTTAGCAGTGAGGTCAAATCCAAAGATAAGAGAGGACTTTTATTATAGAATATTTTATGAAAATATAGAAGTCGATAGTAAAGACCTCTATTAGAAGGTGGTTAAATTTTAAATTTTTTTAATGAATAAGAAGAACTGTCAAAGTCTTGTGAAATAATTCTACTAGCAAGACTCTGAAGTTTGTTCAGAATATTTAGGTGAGAGGTAAAGGTAAATTATAGATAATACAAGTATATTCGAGCACTGCTCTTACACAAATTTTATACAGATGGCAACGTAAGAACGAGAGCGAGTCTCGAAAAACTCTCGAAATAGAGCCTAGCATTTGCCGAGATTTTGTTGAAACATACTCAATGTGAGATTTCCACGTTAAATTATGTGAGATAATAACACCAACTAGTTTGAGAGATGAAACTCGCTTAATATTAATGTTTTTTATTGAAAGAGTGAGCGATAGAACTGTTTTTGTGAAGTTAGAAAATAAAATCCATTGGCATTTGTTTACATTTAATTTTACCTCATTTATATCACACTACCCATGGGGAAATTTTGTTGAAGTTTCACGATGTTGGGATCATGCGGTTGTAATATCAAATGCAAGATCACGTGTGAACTTTCTATAATCTCACACGCGTTCACAAGCGAGAATTTCTTTTCACACGTGTCCACATACCATTCTACGGCTTTTACTAGCGGCCATGTACCACAAATATGACGCGAAAAGTTTCTTTAAACAGTTCACGCGTTCGAACGAAGAAGAGAAAGATGAACCAATAGAAACTTTTGGGTACGATTAGAAAGTTAAGAAGAGAACCATTTAAGAAGAATTCCTGATATTCCTGCATTAAACAACTTTTGAAGAAGAATCTGATGTGGCACGGTATTGAAACCCTTTTCTGATGTTTGTTTTTAGTTTTCCTCTGTCTGTTTTTCAAAATTGATATAAATACTCTTCATATTAAACATTTTTATGTTTATAACAAAAACAGCGTGGGTCTAAGTCTAAAGAAACCACATTAGTCTTGATCAAACAGTTTCGAAGAAAGAGTTCATATAGAGAAACAATAGTAACAACTGTTTAACACCATTATTTTAGGATCTCCATATTCTGTTATTATTTGAATC